TCTGATATAAAGTGCTGCTCGGCAGCCGGCCGCGGTATGATTTTGCACTTGATTAAAAATGTTGGGGTGCTCCATATGAACATCAATCACTGACGCTTTGGAAACTCCAGGACTGAGCTCCGTCCAGTCCAACAGCTGATAACAGCGGGTAATGCGATTTGTTTTAAAACAGCACATTCTACTGCACGGCATTAACATAACTGCAGAGTGATACCCACCAAATTAATTTACTTGGAATGTCTGCTGAGGAGACCTGCTGCAAAAGATGAAACCCTCTGCATGCACTCGGTGTTTTGCAAATGTACAAAGGGTCTGTTTCCCTGCGAGTGAAATGTCCTTTTCTGCACAAACCTGTCACGTCCTGGACTCGCTTATCGGGCCTGGAATTTCTCTCAAGCTCGGAGATTCGTTTGATCAAATTTTCTAACATCACAGGGGGTCTGCCCTTGTCAGCGGGTCAGCGGCACCCCCGCTGCACTCCACATGCTCGGCTCCTGATGGCCGACAGGTAGGAGACACCACTGCATCACACCAGGCCTGCATGTCTGGGGAGCGGTGCCGCTAACCCAGGGGGACAGTGCACGGCGGTCCCTCTCTGGGCCGTGACCCGGGAGAACAGCGCATCTGGCGCGGCCCCAGGTGTGCAGCGGGGGGGGCAGCTCTCCCCCCTCGGGAAGGCGGCCACAAGCCACGGGCTGGCTCAGGTGCGGGAGGCTCCAGCTGTGGTTTCCGAACTGGGCCGGGCCGGGCCGGGCCAGGCCAGACCACCTTCGCACACGGACATTTCACATACCCTGTGCCCTGGCGGCGGAGGAAGGGGAAAGAAAGATGGGGCTGTTTGTGCGCTGGTGTTTAAAGGACACAGGGGGCAGCACGGAGGACTGCAGGGTGGGGGGACCCGGGGGACCCCTGGTGGGACACTGCTGTTGTAACCTTGAGCAAAGCCCTTCACTCGAGCTGCTCCAGTCAATACCCTGCTATATGAAAAGGGCTCCATGTCATCACTCTAAATGACAAAATGTTCTTAATCGATTTTCTGTGTGAAATACGCAGTACAGTACCCATTACTGCGCATACACAGTGCAGCATTAGGCATTCTGCCCAGCTAACTGCAATGCCACAGACTTTACACACATCTGGCAGCCCACTGAAGCTCAGCAGGTGTGAGCCTGGTCAGTACCTGGATGGGAGACCTCCTGGGGAAAACTAAGGTTGCTGCTGGAAGAGGTGTTAGTGGGGCCAGCAGGGGGCGCTCACCCTGCAGTCCATGTGTTTCCTAATGCCCCAGTATAGTGACGGGGACACTATACTGTAAACAGACGCCGTCCTTCGGATGAGACGTAAAACCGAGGTCCTGACTCTCTGTGGTCATTAAAAATCCCAGGGCGTTTCTCGAAAAGAGTAGGGGTGTAACCCCGGCATCCTGGCCAAATTTCCCATCATGGCCTCCTAATAATCCCCCTCTATGAATTGGCTACATTACTCTGCTCTCCTTCCCACTGATATCTGATGTGTGGTGAGCGTTCTGGCGCACTCTGGCTGCCGTCGCATCATCCAGGTGGGGCTGCACACTGGTGGTGGTGGAGGGGATCCCCATTACCTGTAAAGCGCTTTGAGTGGTGTGTCTAGAAAAGCGCTATATAAGTGTAAGCAATTATTATTATTATTATCAGCACTATGTACTTTTTGCATGGTCTAACATGTTTGTTTTCCAGTACTTCGTATTTATTGTTCTCCACAACATATTTACTGTTCTGTTGATATTATTGTTTGTGTTTGTTTGTGATGTACTGTCTACATTTTGTGGTGTTGTCTGTTGTACTGTGTTGTCTGCTGTACTGTGTATGTCCCGAGAGATCAGTGTAAATAAGAATGCCAGTGTACATGCACATATGGCAAAAAACTCTTCTACTCTACTACTCTAATACAGGAATATAAAAATCACCACTGTTTTTCCAAATGACTACATGAACTGTTGATTGTTATTACATGTAATTACAATGGTCCTCTTATTATATGTAATTATACTGTCATTACACATTTACTGTAGGCCTTTTTCAAATGTTCAAATCTTTAGTAAAATTCCTTGCAAGTTCCTTGCAAAACGAAACAAAAAAAAAACTTGGGAATAAGCGCCTCTCTGCAAACATGCAATGTTCTAACAAGCTGTAATCTCAATACGTTCTTATGCTTACAGTGTGTTTTTGTTTTTTTGTTTTTGTTAATACCAATATGTTAAAGGGTTTATCAAGCAGTTTGAACCTGCTTACTTATATCAACATAGGTAGCTTGGGAACTGGTCTGAATAATGGTCTTTGATGCCACTGGTTAAAGTATAATGTATTTTTCTTTTTGAAAACGATGTGCTCTTTTCCTCCTTGAGTCCCGTATGAGGTCCCGGTTTTCCTAACCGGAGATCAGAGTGGAGCGGTCAGGCAGAGGGCTGACAAGTGGCGGGCGAGAGAGAGCCAGGCAGGCGGGCGGGACCCAGGCACAGCGCCCTGAATTCCAATATAGTACAGCAGCGGGGAAAGAAGACAAGGAGAGCTTGTAACTCCGGCTTCGCGCTCCGTCGCACAGACGCGGGCTGACAGCGCTAATGCGTCTCTGCTCAGGTTTGATGTATTATTAAAGAGCCGCGTGGCGCTGGGTAAAGGGCAGGGGATGTGATCGGTGAAGTCTTCCCAGATAAAGTGACACGGACGAGTGGGGCCACAGCCCGTAGGGGGCGCTCACGCACAGGCATTCAAGTACAGGAGCAAACGTTTCAGCAGCTGTCTGTTACAAGGACAGTCGCTTGTGTCAGGCAGGTGTGGTATCTCCGTGTGGTAAGCCCCTTTTAGATGTCTACTGACTTAAAATTGAACATACTGGGATACCACTGATATTAAGACTGATCAGTGTATCTTTTCTGCTGTTTTTTATATGTTACATTAACAGAAATGGCTTCTTCCTTTTTTTAGATATGTGGTCTAGATATTCTTTAGTAGCAACGTCTGACCCCACCCTTTCTGTACTGTATATTCAAATATATACAGTACACCGTTTTCCAAAAAATGCAGCAAAGACATTGCTTTCTAACTTAAAACCTCCTCATACCGTTTCACATCGCGATGAATGTTTTTCATTTGGAAAATAAAAATCATTAGCTGTGTCTACGACTGAAAGACAGTTGTTTCCTAAATGAGGGTAAACAGCTTCATAGGAAAAAATGACTTTTTTTTCTCTCAAAGAGAAAACCCAACCCAGCCGTTATCCTCAGGATCACCAGTGAAAAGCGAAACGGAAACTGTAGAGAAGTGCGATTACTTCAGGTAGTCTGCCGGAGGCCGATTTGCAATCTAGCTGGAGTCTGCTTTTGGAAAGTGACGTTCTTACAAGGGGTGCCATCTTATCATTTATGAAACAAAGGACACAAGTAGAAGCTACAAGTACAGCAACTGCATTTAGAACCCAAGGCACTTATACACACAGAAGGGCTGTGGTAGCATCATCGCAGCTACGCTGTGGAAGACGAGCCCCTGGTTTCTCTCCAGAACTGGCAAGATCAGATCCTCGGATCAATTCGCTAAATCAAATGAATTGGATGAGGTAAATGGCCTCCTCTTGTTTAGAGCTTTCTCATGCTCCTTTGAGACTGATAGCTCTGTTTCAGCTCTCTGTGTTCTGTGCTGCCTCAGCTTGCTCCATGAGTATGCTGTGTGAGGCTCCTCCGACGTACCCTATCCACTTTTCAACAATTTAGACCCAGCCCCTCATTGCGAGCGCAGGCCAGCCGAAACCACAAAGACTCGGACCAGTGCTCAAGGGTCAGCAGGGTTCGATTGGCCCGCCACATGAGCGCCTTTACCGATGGCGCCGAAATGTTGAAAAAACCCTGAAATTTAGAGAAGGCAGTACCAGCATGACATGCATTCCTTCTTGCAATTAAACACTCGTGATGCAGCTCTGAACCATGGTCATTGAAAAAAAAAAACATTCATGGGGTTTCATGTTATTTTTTTACACATTGGACAGTATCTGTTCCCATCCTTTTGACATAAACATGAACACGCTGCACACAGGCAGGGGGCGAGTGTGAGTTCATGCCCAGAGCCTCTCAGGAGTATCTGATGTGCTTCTGAAGACGTTATGGTGTTTTGTTATGGTGTGGGGTCTTTGAAGCAGGGAATGGTTAAAGTACAGTTGCTGTACTGTACGTGATGAGTAAATTAAGACAGCGCAGCTGAGAGAAATGATGTGGTAGGAGTCCTGGTGAACGAGAAGCATTCCAGGCAGACTTTGCTTTTTGTCTTTTCACACAGGAAACTCCAGGGGGCGGCTGCTTTCCGCAGGGTCCCTGCTACGTAGCTGTACTCGCGCGCAAGCTATTTTTAGCCCCGGGATTAGCGAGCTCTTTCGACAGAGCCGGGATTTTCTCCAGCGCAATTAAAAATTCGCCAGGAATCCGGAGCTGGGGAGGGGGAAGGCAGAGACGAAAAAGGAGAAGGAGGAAAAGGGAGGAGATGAAAGAAAACGGAACAGAGGAAGACAGAAAGAGATGGAAGGGTGGGAGGAGAGCTGCAGAGTGAGAACAGAGAGAGAGAGATAGGGGGAAGAGGCTCGTGGGCAAGCAGACTGTTGATTCAAGTATTCTGTCCTCCTTAATAAGAAAAATGTGATGCGGGCTGATTTTAGGAGAGAGTTAACACTGGACCGGCGAGGGGGGGTTAGAACAGCATAGAAAATTGCGGTGTTGCAAGCATATAACCGCAGGACTACAGACTCCCAGAGCGGGTTACAAACAACATTACAGCATTTGGCTCTGGTGGAATGTTGCATCCACGGATTATCACACATCGTGTTGCACCATAGAGTCCGTGGGCAAATTTCTTAAGACACCTCATTGCTTCCGCAGTCCGTGTTATCTCTGGGGAGCTGGAACCTAATGGACAGCAGTTGGGAATCCTAGCTAAACACCCAAGACAGGCTAGTCGGGGGGCTGGCTCTCTTTCTCTGACCTTCACGGGCTTCTTGCGGGGCTCTTCGTTGTTCTCGGCCTCCTCGTGCTCCTTGCTGCCCTGCGGGAGGTTGGAGTAGTTGGCAAGGCTGCTGAGCAGGGAGGAAACCATGGGGCTGGTGTCCATCTCCTCCTGCAGGGCACACAGACACAAGAGCATCAGCACCCTGGGGCACGTGCAGAGTAAAGGGCAGCTGGACTGTGCTCCAGACCACACGACTTCATATGTGCTGTGGCTTATGACAACAAGCATGCAAAACACGGACAAACCTTTTTTAGTTGGCTTCTACCACGTTGAAACATGAATTAGTACAGCCACAACGTACGTGACGAGAGCCCCTGCTATTATATTCTGCAGATTTGTTTTGTGGGTTAGAAGGTTCTTCCTGCCTACTGGCAGGCCCCTGCTGTTCTCACCTCGAACAAGGCCATGTTCTTGCCATCGTACTGCTGGCTCTTCTCCACATCGCTGCTGTTGATGAAGGGGCTGCTCTCCTTGGGGTTGCCATCACCTGCAAGGGGCGACAGAGAGACAGAAAGAGTCATTGCACTGGCTAATTTCATCCACATAATGATTATTGGATGGAGTTAAAATAAGACTTTAAGTCCAAACAGGCAATCTTGGACATCCATGTCCCTAGTATGAAGGTCTGATCAGTAATGCCTTCATACCACAACTTAAAAAGCTCTAGGGTCCTCCCAGGAACTGTGTTGAGGCAAGTTATCACTGACTGGTACACCAATTTATCGACATTTCATTATTAACTTATTTAGCTGTTAATCCAAAGCTACCTATATTTGTATACTATTCATTTTATATATTTTCCTGAATTCCACTGGAGCAATTTGTGTGACGTTCCTTGTTCAAGCGTACCAAAGTGAGCTCAGACCAATTGATAGTTGAATTCACAACCTTCCTGTTACAAGTCCAGAGCCCTTAGCACTCCCCGACACTGCTGCCCGTAGGAGAAGAACCTCACTCAACCACACTGCAGGTTTGATGTGTTTCCAGAGAAGGATACATTGTAAGGGAGGATTTAGATGTGACCTAGTGATGGCAGGGTCACACTGTTGACAGAGCAGTGCAATCGATTCCCCAGGCTAATCAAAGAAGACCTAAACCCAGACTTTAGGTATTGAAATTAAAATCCATATGTTTTCATTAACACTGGAGACGGGTTGGGGAAGGGATTAGGGGAGTGGACAGTGTGTCGATCGGACCTAGGATTGTTTTTATCCCTTTTCACTGATGTTTCCGTCCTTGGATCCCAAAGCACACCTGCACCAATATACAGACGTTAACCACAGACTTCTATAGCTGGTTTACCACTGTCACATGTCTCCCTCACTCCATGGAGGACCATCTGGAACTAATGTCATGTGTGCTTTCAATGTCTTGCATGGGAAATCAGATGGTTTCCAGGTTCAGTAAGCACAGGCAGATTTCAGGGATTTCAAGGCATTAGAAAGGTTACGTAACCCAATGTCCAGAGACCTAACCCGGAGGTTCACTGACTCATCTTTCCATATTTCTGCCCAGTCAAGTGTGTCTGAACTTTCATTTTTAGGCGGCTGTTTCCTCACAGTCTGGAGTTAGTGCTGACTTTTCTCTGGCCCCGCAGTTCACTATTTTTTAATGGATCAATCAAGCCTTTCAATACTACACAATGGATAACTGTCTACTTGAGCCACATACAGTTGTTCATGAAAAGGTTACTCATGCCTAATTACAGTTATGCTTCAATAAATGAGCATATATTGCCCTTTGGTGAAAAATGTATCATCTGTCAGTCAAAGGGATAGCAATTATTAAAAACATTTAGACTTATTATAGAAGAATACACATAGGGCATGGTGTCTGGGAACAAATATGTATCGTTACAAACAAGGGTAAAGAAAATAAAAGGATAGATCAGGATAATACAATAATTAAAATTAATAATTAACCCCCCCCCCAATGTCAGATATGTCAAAGATATACCCGGGTGGTCACTATAATTCTGAGGCACCTGAGTAACAAGTGACAAACTAAAACAAATGTTCATTAACAAACTAAACAACACATGATATATTACACTCATACACAATGCTGTTTACAAACCAAGCATCTCAGGAACCTAAGTTCTAATGTCCCAGAAAACCCAGACTTCTAACCCAGTAACCTGAACCTTATATGATGCCTGAACAGGCCAACTAAAGTGATAAACCTGCGCTTGGAATAAAGCTGGAATACGGCCCAGAACTAAATCTCCCTACCTACAAACCTGGGTGCCTCAGAGTGAACAGGGAACTATCTCCCTATTCTAAAAATTAATCACTGAATTGCTAACCTGGAGAGGACGTCTTTAGCCCGAGGATTCCACCAATAGGAAAACCAGTTTCCTAAAATAAAGGACAGCAAGCTCTCTGAAACGTAGCTGGGGTCTGGTCTTCGGGGCTGATCAGAACAGGGTCCTCTCTTCTGACACACACCTCCTCTCTCTGCTCCCTTCCTTACTTCTGTTCTCCCTCTCTCTCGCCCTGGCTCTCTCTCCTTTGTCAGGGGTCTCCAGCCAGTACTGGTTTTCCCTTCTCTCCAGAGAAGGTTCTCTAAGTGCCCTCGCTGCCTGTTTCCTGCCAGTCCGTATCAGCAGAGCACACAAATACGTTTTTGGTCCTCCCTTCCATACCACACACACATCTCGCTTCCCAAATCTCTTTTTTTTTGTGAATTCAGAAAGGCAGCTGCTAGGTTGGGTAAAGATGGGTCCTTCTTTACATCTTAAGTTCCAGTTTTCCAGCAGCCTTGCTGCTCGAGCCAACCTGGCAAAACCTGGTCATTAAAACCATCAGCCAGTAAAGCAAGCCTTTAAGGTCCGAGCCCGGTTCTTCCCAGCTTTTACTGGGCCATACTGGGAGCTCGGCTTCCTCTGCCAAGATTTCCATGGTGTGCTGTCCATCTCGATCCAAGTGGAGACTTTTACAGGATGAACCCATAAGCCTCAGGTTTAATGACACAATATCAAGGCAGACGTTAGGAGTCTGAAGACCGCAGGGTGGTGAAAGGTATTATGCATTATGTTAATTCCCTGCAGGCACTTTTTGTTGTCACTACCCATTCTACATTCCTTTTTTCCGATACCTATCCATCAATAAGAGCAATCATTACAGAAAGTCAATCAATGAATCAGATCAGCTCGGAAATTCATCAGAGGAACCTGGATCCATCCAATTGGATTAGCCTGGAAAATGAAATGTGGAAATGCAGTGTCAGATTTGAGCACAATCTTTACAGCGGTGTCACTGCTGTTGACAGGGTGTTGGAATAAGTGAAAGATTTAATAAGATCCCTGTCCCCCTGGGAACTCAGTTCTTGAGGGGGCAATGGTGTGTGCATCTGTGCATGCATGTTTGTAAGGGAAGCAATTGCAATGTATAGTTGCAGCAGGCTGGCTATGAATAATAATCATTCTAAAATCAATTAAATCTTCAGATAGATAGATAAGACTTTATTAATCCCATAGGATACGGGATCCCGTAGATACGCAGACACGTGAGAGCAGTCTACACAGCAAAGCAGGTAAAGCTGTTGGACAAATATGGAAAGCACGTATAATAAACAGCAAAACCTTAAATTAAAAAAATTTAAAGATCCTTAAATTTGAAAACCCTTAAAAAGCATTAGTGTCCTGATTTAAGACATTGCTGTCTCCCAGTACTTTATGATCCTGTGAAATGGAAAATGATCTGAATAATACAGTCCCAAATGCAATTCAGTAACAGCTTGCATATATCTTAGTAATAAATGAGTAATGACTTTTTCTTTTTTTAGTTAAAAGTAGAGTAGAGTAGTTTATTGCCATATGTACACGTACATTGGAATTCTTAATCACACTGATTTTCAGGACATACACAGTACAACAGACGACCCCACACAATGTAGACAACAGGAACAATAAATATGTTGTGGACAAATAAATAAAGATGTAGTAGTGAGCCCCCCAAAAATGGTAGACTATGTGCGTAGTGCAGATGTGTATCAAGGCACTGCAGTTAGCTGCTGAGGATGTTGTTTACCTACAGGATGTGAGCAGTGGGCTCCTCCCTCATTTTTTACGTTAGAATAGAAAAGACATGAAATATGCAGGAGAGATTAAATATTTAACTTTTCAGTCAGTTTTATTTAAATAGTGACTATTAAATGCGTGCCATGGATTCTAAAATGGCACCAATTTCAATATGTCATGTTGTAAGCTAAAAGCTTTCAAATAAGCTGAGTCTTGTTAGAATCTCCTGAGGTTCCGGGCTGCCAGTCAGTGTCACAATGAATATAATTGCCTGAATGGAGTTTTAATTAATTACAGGAAGGTTATTAATATGTAAATGCTTATCCCTTTGATGTTTTTTTTATTGTATGCTTTTTAAGGTACTTTCTAACATATTTATTTAGCTTTCTCCTTAAGAGAAGCTGTTGTGCTCTGTGGAGTGAAGCCCCTTGGAAGTTGTAGGAGACCTTGCCGTATTTTATAGGAGTGTAAAAGAAACAGCTGAAATAGAGGTGACCGTTTCTCACCTTCAGGCCTCTAATGCACAGAAACATGCAGTACCTCCCTCGGCCATGGTCTAATAACCATTAACAATAAAATGTAAAGCTATTATTAAGTGTATCACCTTTTCGTTTTGTTAATGTACCCGGCTGTATTTCAAGTTCTCAGGCTGTATAGTGTTGGACTGAATTATTTACACAACAGGGATTTCTGAGTAGCTCAGTCAGGAAAGGCACAGTACTCACTCACAGGGCAGCTTAAGATCCATGATCCACCCTGGATCTCCACTAGTGCAGAGTCAGGATTAGTCACCTCGGGTCCCTTGACATTCTGGGAAAAAAACCTTCTGTTTTGGGAGGGGGGGTACGCAGGCTTGAAGGAGGGATGTGCCACTCCTCCAGTTGGTGTGAACTCTCCCACCAGGAAGGATGACCAATGATGACTTCCACGCCTTCCACAGGTATGGAAGTCACTGCCAGAGAGTTGAGTCTTAAAACAATTTGAGATTCCAGACTTGATGGAAAAATATTTCATTTCCATTTCATTTCATATTCCATTCCAAATTTCTAAGTGACGGGTTAAAAGATAAGCATCTTTACCACCTACAGTACTAAGTGTTAAGTGTCCTGGACTTATCCCCATCACTGAATTGACTTCATCACTCTGCTCTCCTCCCCACTGAGAGCTGGTGTGTGGGGAGCGGACTGGTGCACCCTGGCAGC